ATGCTTTTCACGAGACAATTACCGTTCATTAGGCATTCCTCCTTAACTCTGCAGTTGCATGATTTCAAAGAACATTGGGAGTTGCTTTGATGTTTAAGGATTCTATGATTGTGGTTGGAGATCGAGGTTTTAACATTGTTCATACAAGAGTAACTCACTTTGACCGTGTTCCGGTTGAAAATTTTATGGAAATGCGATGACTTTGGGAAATGCTTATCAATTAAGCGAAGGAACCTTTGTGCTACATTCGTTTTCACATTCTTACTATAAGGTGGATGTAAGAGCTACGGGTGTAAAGCAGTGGAAGAATACACAAGCGGTTCTAAAATGGTTCAAGGAAATAAGAAACAAATGCGATCATTCATTCCTATCTTTCGACATCAATGAATTCTACCCATCGATTTCAGAAGAACTATTGAAAAGGGCAATTTCTTGGGCGAAGACAATGATAAATATCACAGATGAAGAAGAGTCCATCATCAATCACGCACGTAAATCGTTTCATTATGTGTTCTTTAGATTAGATATATACAATCATTTAAAATTGAAAACAATACATATATACAACTTGTTATCAATTAGCAAAATTTGCTTCAGTACTAAAACTCATTTATATAAAAGAGTTTTTGAAACGATCTGTCCGGCATTGTGGCGTGTTAAAAGTTCTATTATTTCTCAGAAAACCATTACAGCTATTACGAGGGGGAAGTAAACCAGCAAGTTTATGGTTTCCATTGACAACAATATCTTTAAAAAGACTTTGTGATAGCATTTCTCGCCTGTCAAAGAGGGTGGGAATAAATGCCTCTTTCAGTGCTTCATTATAACTTTGATGAGGGAAAATAATCCGCAATGCACGCTTCTGAATGCGTTCAAGATCATTCGAGAGGTAATTGGGGAGATTTCTATGAAACAATTGACAGCAATATTCCAGTACTGATCGGACAACACTACAATAAAAGGCTTTCATATCATCAACACTGAGTCCCGCTCTTTTAAGTTGTCTTAAGAGATATAGGCGTTTGAGGCCTTGGCAGTTATGGTTTTAACATGATCTATCCACTTAAAATCGTCACGAATAGTAACACGAGAAGTCTTGCAGCACTAACTTTATCAAATTTTATCCATCTATCTCAATTGGAACGAAAGATGGAGGGATTCTCTTAAAACATGATTGGATTTCTTTACATTTGGTAGGTTTAAGTTGTAGATGGTTCTCTTTAGACCACAAGTTAACATAATCAACAGCGTCCTAATGGAACTTTCATTAGATTGGGTAATCACTTCGGATAATGTGATATCGTCAGCGAACTTCCACATTTGGGAGATCTGATCTGGTAATCGTAGATCGTTAATTAGAATAAGAAAGAGCCATGGACCAAGACGAGTATCCTGGGGAACTCCAGCGTGGACATCAACCCAGTTGGAAAAAGTACCATCATATTTAACCCTTGCTGCCGATGACGTAAGAAATCAACAATCCAATTAACGATGGTTGGCTTTACTCCTATGCGAATAGTTTAGCGATCAGTATATGATGGTCTACTAGGTCAAAGGCTTTCCGAAAATCTAAGAGGACAGTTCTTATTGTGGACGATGTCCCATCAGTGGCAGATAACCAATGATGAAACATATCGATTAGTGCCATAGTTGTCGATGAACCTGGGATAAATCCAAACTGTCGTGGATCAACAATGGACAACATAACCGGTTTTAAAGCCATATCAATCACAAAGCTTTCCGCAACTTTCGACAGAGTCGACGTAAGAGAAATTGGTCTGATGTCGTTGTTAAAATCACAAATGAGAGACGACTTTGGCAGAGGACAAACATCTGCGAGTTTCCAAGCGTTAGGCACTCTACATTCGGTAAATGAGGTGTTCAATATATCAGTAATAGGACTTGCGATAATGTCCGAGAACGTTTTGAGCACCCAATTTGGAAGGTTATCAGGTCCACTGGCGCGAGATATCTTAATCGCTCTTAGTTTCCTTGCCACAGATTCTTCGGTAACATACAAAGGTTCATCATCAACCGCATCCACGCATGTATATTCTGTCAAAGGCGAGTAATCATTCATTACGCTGATAAACGCTTTGTTTATGTTATTCGTAAGAGTAAAATCATCACACACAAGATCAGGGTGTAAAAGGGATCTTAGGTCACGACGAGTGTTTTTATTAATACCACAAAGATTTTTGACCTCTCTCCACCAATCTCTGGGCGTAGAGTCCTTCATTTGACCAATTTTACTTTCATAATAGGTTTTCCTACAATCTTGATGTCACCTTAAACCTAAAAGATAATCAGTTCTCCCCTTACCGAAAACCTAATAATGACCCAGTTTACATCGACAGCCGGTCTAACCATCCACCATCCATAATCAGACAACTTCCCAAATCGATCAACAAACGTATATCCTCACTTTCGTCCAACAAAACCAGTTTTGATTTAGCTGCCCCGCTTTACGAAGATGCTCTAAAACACAGTCATTTCAACACCACCTTAAGTTACCAACAAGATGAAAACAACTACAACCCCAAGCGAAGAACGCGATCAAGAAACATAATCTGGTATAATCCAACTATAGTAAGAATGTGAAAACGAATGTAGCACAAAGGTTCCTTCGCTTAATTGATAAGCATTTCCCAAAGTCATCGCCTCTCCATAAAATTTTCAACCGGAACACGGTCAAAGTGAGTTACTCTTGTATGAACAATGCTAAAACCTCAATCTCCAACCACAATCATAGAATCCTTAAACATCAAAACAACTCCCAATGTTCTTTGAAATCATGCAACTGCAGAGTTAAGGAGGAATGCCCAATGAACGGTAATTGTCTCGTGAAAAGCATTGTGTACAAAGCGGAAGTTAGCTCGGATAATGGAGAAGTTGGTCAAGCATTATATTGGTATAACATCAGGTAGCTTCAAACTCAGATACAGCAACCACTTAAAGTCTTTTAACCACGAACGCTACTCTTGAGAAACGGAGCTCTCGAAGTATGTTTGGGGGCTCAAGTCGCAAGATAAACCATTTGGGATAAAATGGTCAGTGATGAAGCAAGTTCCCGCCGCATGTCCAGAAATGAAAGTTTGTAATTTATGCACCGAGGAAAAAGGATTAATCATGCTATCAGACAAAAACAAATCGTTGAACAAAAGGACAGAACTGTTTAATAGTAAATGCCGGCATAGATATGGTTTTAAGGTTTGTAATGTTAAGCGCACGCAAACATGCACGTTAAAACTCTCGCGTAATCAATCAAAAACACGTGCGCGTAAACCGTTGTAAATAGTTATCGCCTGAGGATCGTACTAAAACTAGTACGTGAAACACAGTGTAGCGATGAAATACAATTTTATGATTATATTTGTTGATTTGTTTGTATATATATACGATATATATTGTATATATATATTTATATATATAAATACAGATGGAAGGCGCAGCAAAAAGAAACTGCAAAGAACAATAAACCGAATTTAGGTGTAAAGTGTGTGGGCAAACTGTATCATTGTTGATAGAATCGGTTTTAATATCGTTACAATCAACTATCAAGTTGTGTTGACATTCAATACAGACACTCAAATCTTACTGAATCTTACGACTGCCTGTCGTAATGAGCGAATTTGGAGGACAAATAACAAATGTGAACAAACAAAGAATATCGTTTACGCCCTCATTTCATTTTATCTGCTATTGCGTCGAAACAGGCTGTTATGCGCTCCATATTTAGTCCGTAGAAACACGCTGTTCTAAACGGGAGTGATTGTTGGGCTACTTGTGTTTCACCCATCCCCACAAGGGTGGAGCGTTACAAAGGAATCACGTGACCAGCCTGAACCAGGGTTTTCACCGTGGGCAGAAAAGCCTGGCTTGCGAGGTTGGGTACTAAGTATAGTCGCAAACCGCAAAGCATCTATGGACTATTTGGAGGGACAGGAAATTCAAGTCTGAAATCATTTGTCCCTCGAAACAGTCCATAGATGCTTTGCGGTTCGCGACTAGACCAGTACCCTGCTCGATTGAGAAATGGCTAATTAAATACACACAAAAATATCCTGCATGGGGGAACCAACATTCAAAGGTCGAGCGTTCGCCGGCCCCTTGTCAGCACATGAGGTATGAATCAGTTTTCTTTGAATCAGTTGATTGTCTTTGATGCACGAAATATTTGTCCCTCGGAAATTATTATATTGGATCCTCGCCATAATTTTTTTTCAATATTATGGATAGGAAAATTTTGTTGTATCCCGATATAACAAATAATTCATGCCAACCCATGGGAGTACTTGACCGTTTTTAATAATTCGCTATTTTAAATCATTTTTAGTGCAAAGTTTCTTTGAAACTTGGCAGTATTGTGATGAGTGGTGAAAATCAATCAGTCAGTCATAGTGTAAACTTCCCGGGGGATAGTTTGATTTATGCCTATAGTAATTTTTTGTACATGATCAGTACGGTAACGTTTTAAATCAGTTTAAATTGTTTTATTTATGAATTATCTATCCCTTTTCCTAAGTTCACAAAAATATTGAGGAATCTGGCCCGTTACTATTACGTCACAACTGCGCATGTCCAGCCGGGCTTGATAAATATTCAAGATTTAAAGAAACAAGGAGCGAAGAGTGTTGCTTGAAACATTCCGGGCGCAAAAATCGAGTAACCACTCCGGCGCCAGCGACGGAGTTGAAAATTCGCCCCGGTTTTGTTTTGTTTTGTTTCTTTTTTATTTTTCGTCGTCGCAAGTCTGTAATGGCGCGAAATATACTAGTATTTGAAATGTGTATGTGCCCGTATTTATCTACGTCCCAGTCTTATCTCCCAAGAGTTGTGGTGCACAGCTTTGGCTAATTTTCCGATGCGCGATTCGATTTCGCTCGCATGATAAGGCAATTCCACCAAGAGGGACAAATAAACCGTTCTTTTGATGCTGTTCGATTAAGTTTAGGGTAAGAATATATTCAATACATGTAGATTCTGGTCCTATTCTAATAATATCGCTGCTATTTCGCCGTTTAACAAGATGTGGTCGTTAACGGACGCGTTGACACGTCGCAGTTAATTTGCACAGGATTGAAGGTTTAATATTAGCACGAATTCCAAAGTGTAAGACAAAGTGAACGTATCACGCAGTTTATTTACATTTTTAAACAATTGAACTATACTTTTTAAAGTACGATGTGCTTCTGAGTGTCGCGATCGAACAACATTTAGGTTCACAAGGCATCTAGATTAAATGAGTAGCTTTTCTCTATAGCTCAAAGTCCATTTTACGCTTCGTAAAATTTCGGTAACCGCGCTCATGAGAACAGCCACTAAGGTTGATTTCCATTCAGTACAAAATTTTGTCTAGTTTCGGCCTTGACAAGGCCATCAAACTATTGCAGATAATGCCTTGATTAAAGAGAAGTAAACTTTATTTTATTACAACCCTCACCCACTTACATAATATTGGCTAATTGACAGTCGTATGTCTTCCTTTACTTTCTTTGCTTAACGCCATTTGCCACCAGTGAAAGGAACTTTTAACTGTCAATTGGAAATTGAACAATACGTCAGCATGAACTAAAATATTTCATTGTATTGTGAAGAATAAAGTTGCCTTGAACAATAAGAGAAGGCTTGAGTTTGGTAATGAGGAGACTCTCATATATCATTAACTTGTAAGAGTCAGGCGAGCATAGAGAGTCAGGGTCAAAAGTTACCCTTACGAGTTAATTATTCCTGAGAGTCACCTCATCACTAAACTCAACCAAACTCAACCAAACTCAGCTTTAAAGTTTGAAATGTTTGGCTAACTTGACGCATTTTTTTGAAATAAGGCATCTATCTATATAGTTTCATAAAAATTGAAGAACTGGTTCTTAATAGCTTCTCTTTTGAATTTAGCTGGTCTTAAAAACATTCTGTTATTATTGCAGAAAAGTAGCTAAATCCCAGAATGTTTCATGGTGCGAACACTGGAAATTCTTGGATGGCTTTACAGACCTCTCAACGAGCGATGGATTAGTAAAACTTGAGGAGTATCTCAAGACCAAAGCACATAGATTAAACTTGGAGAAAACAGTGCCTGTTGAAACACGTGTTCCTATCGAAAGCTCTTCGTTTTGTTCACCCTGCGGTTCCATTAGTGATGATGTTTTCGAACGCTCCGACGGGACTCCCTTGTCCTGCATAAGTTCAAGAAATAAGAATTCTAATTTAAAAAACTTTCGAGGCCGCTTAAAGTTAGAAGAATCACTGGAAGATAGGGGCACAGAACCCATAATTAAACACGACGCGTCACAGAAAACATGCGAGAAAATCTGCAGCATTAAACAGTCGCTGTCGTCGTCGGACACTAATGAACTTTCTCCTGACTACGATAAAAGATCCTCAGACATTTCAAATTGCTCAGAAATCTCGTTATCAGAACTTACTTCCGAGATTCGCATATTAAGTGTCGGTGATGACCCAAATCCAAGAGCTGAAACAAATTTTCTTAATCTCGTGTCCGACTGTCCCACTATCAAAGACCAAAATAACTACGACACAAAAGATACCCCGAGAAAGACGAATAGTGATAAAGCCAGCTTGTTCATTGAAGGGTAGGTATAACACTTTTATATATTATATCGCCGTCTTGGCTAATACAGCGTGCCGAGGACGGTGTTCTCTCGTTTGATTTTGCAGGAAGGATCCCTGCTACTTTATTCAGATCCATGTTTAATAATTAATATAGATTACTTCATGGTTGACGAGTGCGTACGATTTTTATGCGCGTGTTGTGAAGTTACGATTCTTTACAACGAGTGCATAGTAAAAATCGTACAAACGAGACAAATCAAATGAAGTATAAAGGTATAAGTAGTAGTATGAAAAAAGACAAGAACACTTCTCGACGTTTCGAAAATTATTCATGAGTGATTATCCTAATTATTCATAGATTATCATCTTAGTTATTCATAGGTTATCATTTTATAATTAATTCATTTTCCGATGGCAAAACATCCTTGACCTTGCCAAGAGAATTATAGCCTATTTGGCTTTAGTTTATAAAGTAAAGGATAATTGTGACCGTGAAACATTCTGTCAAGCTGTTCAAATAACTGTTTGATGATTTAAACACGTTAATTTGGCAAGCTACGAAATTAAACTGTCCTGGTTTTAACAGGTGATATTGTGGCTATATGAGACCGCAAGATAGTTTGAATATCAGTAACTTAGTTAAGGGACTGGTGGCTCGATTTCCAAGATTGTATGCTGCTAAGACATGTTTTTATCAAACGTTTTCCCCTCAATATTACCTTTTACTTATCACCACTTGTAGCTAGCATCAAAGTACAAAAACTTGAGGATTTAGAACGTGAGGATACAGGACTGTATTTAACCTTTAAATGGGTAATATTTCAAACCAAACAGACGATAAACTTAGACTGCGTTCAAAATGTTTCCTAATGATGGGCAGAGTCGACCAACATTGATGTAGAATCGAACTACTAGAGTAGGGAGTTTTAGCCTGGACTACGAGTACGAGATTCGTCATTCACGCGCGTTGTTTGCTTACGCCATCAGCCAAAACTCGTTGTCGTTGGCACAGAGGAACCACACAGAGGCGGAGCTCGCGGCAAACCCTGTTTTCAATGCGCATGCGCTAGCCTCTGGTAAGTGTTTTTGCACTTTTTAATTAATAAGGCAAATTCGATTTTTTGCTCTTCGTTTTTTTGACAAATTCTATTTATCCATCCGACATTGCACCTTTTGGATTAAAAATGACTGAGATACGAATTAAGATATGAAAAAACGGGAAATACAACTACAAGAAGTGCGTTTTCACACGAAGCTTCTATAGAATTGCCTGGTAAAAATTCAAAGTTTGGTATTTCATCTAATGAATGTTTTTTTGATTGATTGATTTTTTATAAAATCGTCGCGCTCGAAAGCGAATTGCGAAGTTGTTTACATTGTCATTGTTTGCTAAAAACTTTGAATATTAAATAGTCCTTGTATTACATACATTACGTGACAACAATTGTTTTACTAATTTATAAATTAATATACTTTAATAATTAAAATATTTACAAATTATGTGATCGGAGACACATTGCCGGGAAAAAGCTTTTCTTAAAACGCTCTAGCTTGCAAGGAAACAGTGTAAGCCTATTACTATACCTTAAATTGCAGTTATGTTCGTCCGCCTGTGACGGTGGTATTAGGTAATTAAGGCGTGAATCTGGCTGTCTCATTCACATTCGCTATTCTCACCCAGACTGTGAATACGAAGGGCTATGCCTTTTAATTCAAGCGAATAGTTATCGGGAGGCTGCGATAAACGTGGGATTGATGTTCGTTTGATGGTCATTTGCATAATAAAGTCCTACCAGGGTCATGGTTAGATATTTGTAGATACTTATAGTCCATCATAGACAACAAGTGAAAACCAGTAGACTTAATAAAACACTCCTGCTAGTTAATTAAATAGCAAATAAAAATTTGGTCGTATTTATATAAGCACCTCTTGCAATTTTGAATTAGATGATATACTACAATGGCTCATTACAAGTCTGATAAATACTTTCGGTAAACACTCTATCACAGCGTTTAAAACCCTCTCTCGCTCTCTCACTTCTCTCTCTTATTTATACTGTCTGCTGTTTCCAACACGAAAAGTTTGTTTTTCAGGGGAACGCATTTGACTGCTCATAATTTCCCGCTAATCTACACCATTTCCTCAATTGGTTGACCACAGCCTATACCTACAACTTTCTTTGCGTATCTACGCATTGTTAGCTATCTGTGGTTTCACCACGTTCCTCATACCTTGTGCAAGGCGAAACCACTTCCCTCGATTGTTCAGTTATTTTTCTCTAAGAAGCTTACCGTCAGAAACACCGATCGACTCATCAAAGCCTTCGCTTTCAGTCCATTCAAGAGGATAAAAGTATCCATGTGCCACCTGGAAAAACTATGGCACCTGGAAAAACTACGTCTGACGGGGAGTCAGATACTAACGAACAACTAGACATTCCGCACGAATCGACAAACGTTGGTATTGAAGATCAATCAAAACCGTATCTACTAAAACATCAATCTATGTCTTTTAAAGATCAATCAGAAGCTTACCGTCAGAAACACCGAGCGACTCAAAGCCTTCGCCTTCAGTCCAGCCAAGAGGGTAAAAGTACCCACGTGCCACCACGAAAAGCTACGTCATTTGAAGTCCAATCAGAATTATATCGACAATAACATCAATACTTCCGCCTCTATCCAATCCGAAAGAACCCCAGGAGAGGAACACAAAGGAGAAAAACCCGACCGCAAGTAAACCCTATGAAAAGTGCGTCAGAGAAAAGAATATTTATACAAACCAATTCCTCCTTTTCGCCAAGTACGGAGGGGCAGTCCACCCGCTATACGTCCCCACCGTCCGAAAGATTAGCTAGACTATCTGGACTATGTCGGCAATATAATGAAGCAGCATTAGAGACTTGGTCATTTGTTAATTTTGAAATACCGACGCCAAATAAAACCAGTTATGATGTGAAAATTCCCGTACATATCACAGACCGTTCTAGAACGCCTAAACAACATAAGAAACACAGAAATTGCTATATCCCCTCCCACAACCTAATCCATATCAGAACTCTTAATCGTACTGCTAATGCTAACAAAAGACCTAAAAAGGAGATGCTTCCATCCTTCTTTTTATTGAACTCCCGTTCGCTCCTGCCAAAGATTGATGAATTGATCGCACTTGTAAGTCTCAAGTCTGTCGACATTATCGCAATAACTGAGTCATGGTTACATAAACATATAGACAGCAGCTTATTGTCAATCAATGGTTATAATTTTTTCCGTAAAGATCGTGCAACTGGTCGAGGTGGGGGAGTTTGTGTTTTTGTCAAAAACGACATTCATTGTATCCGACGGGTAGATCTAGAAAGTGAAAATTTAGAATGCTTATGGCTTAACCTACGACCTAAACGCCTTCCCAGACCTCTCTCTGGCCTAGCAATTTGTGTTGTATGCCATCCGCCAGGTTTGGCAGTATCAGAGCACAACGACCTCAACGATTATTTAATCAATACTATTGACCAACTTCGGAATAAGCACCCTGACCATGGTCTAGTAATCTTGGGCGACTTCAACGATTTTGAAATACGAACTTTAACTACCACTCAAAATCTTAAACAAGTTGTTGACCAACCAACCAGAGAATCAGCAATACTGGATCTTATCCTTACAAATATGCATAAATTATATAATTGCCTTAAATTTCTCGCTCCATTAGGATCTAGTGACCACAATATCCTACACTGGCTACCTTCTGCCGATAGCATTTCCAACCACGACATACAAGTGAAATCTGTCAAAACCTTAGTACGCCGCTACCCTAAATCCGGGATAGATGCTTTTGGTAGATGGATTAGTACACACGATTGGTTTTGTGACCTTGTTCCCAATCATACTGTTGATTGTCTAGCGGTTTCTTTCACAAACCAGTTAACAGAAAGTATCGACCAAATTTTCCCACAAAAGACTCTAATACGTCATCACAACGATAAACCATGGATAACACCCGCAATAAAACAACTTATCAAAGACCGACAGAAGGCGTTTCATAGGCACAACACAACCTTATGGAGATCACTGAAGTATAAGGTTCAGCAAAAGATCAATGCGAGGAAAATATCGTACTATAAAACAAAGGTGCAACATTTAAAGAAAGATGACTGTCGCATGTGGTGGAAAATTGTGAATAAAATGGGTGGAAAATCCGAAAAGAATCACTCCTTTTCGCTTGAACAAGATGGAAGAACCCTTGATCAATCAGAATTAGTTAATGTTTTGAATATGTTCTATGCATCGGTGAATATTGACATTCCACCACTTGACTTGACTGCACTTCCAGCATTCCTTCCAACCAAAGAACCCGTCCCAACTGTCCAACCGCACGAAGTGTTTCAAAAATTGTCAGCAGTTAAACCCTTTAAAGCCCACGGTCCAGATAACATTCCTTGCCGTATCCTAAGAAGTTCGTCTACGAACTAGCCGAGCCTGTCGCAACCATCTTCAATGTATCACTCACATCTGGAATTGTTCCTGCCATATGGAAAGATTCAGACATTATACCGATCCCAAAATCACAACCTCCTACCTGTGAAGGTGACACTAGACCCATCTCACTGACATCTTGTTTGTCTAAAGTTCTTGAAGATTTCGTGGTCAGGTGGATGATAACTGATATTAAAGACAAGATCGACCCTAAACAGTTTGGAAGTTTGAAAGGCACGTCAACGACTTATTGTCTTCTGGATATGATCCACACCTGGTGTGTAATTTAGAATCCCCTGAAAGATATCTTAGACTTTGCTTCCTTGATTTCGCAAAGGCGTTCGACCGTATAGGGCATAATTTATTGATATCAAAGCTGTTGGGCATAGGTGTCAGATCGTCTCTGTTATCTTGGATTATCAACTTCCTCACTAATCGCCGACATCGCGTTAAACTCGGTGGAGAAATCTCGGATTGGTTGCCAATGAAAGCAGGCGTACCCCAGGGAACTAAACTTGGACCATTTTTGTTTTTGGTCATGATAAATGACCTT